CTAGGCGGGTTGGTCTGGGTGTAATCCGTGTCTGGTGCAGATTTTAATCCCGCCTCCCTGTCAGCCGGAACTCTGGCAAGAAGCGCACCGCGTAAAGAATTCAGCTGTTGGCATGCTGTCTTCTGTAAGTCAGAAGGTTCTTTCTTTTTAATTGATAGATCAGTTCCAGAAACGCAATCCTCTTGTCTAGATTTCTGTCGAGATCTTCCTAGATAACACAACAATTTGTATGAGATCGCTGCGACGCGTAGACGCATCTTTGTAAGCTGCTCAAGCAATAATTCCTCTGCGCGCGCCTGTATAATAGTCTACGTGCGATTGAATATTTTCCCAAGTGTTTCACACTGGGGAGGGCGGCTGCCTCCAAGTCCTTTCGGATTTGCTCCAGAGAGAAACCATCGGGTGCAATGTGCACGCTGTTAAATTTTCGAGCGTTCACACATAGAATCTGGTAAGAATCTATCACAATTGTAGGTGGTTCTTGGAGATTCTCATGTGAGATAAGACCCGTGTTGTATGTGTCAATACCCTCATTGGTAACGTTAGTATAACTTTGGGGGGGATCTGTCAGCGAGGCCGAAGGCGGATGGTGCGTTGCGAGCCCTGATACTTTTCGGCGCTGAGCCAAGGTTCGACGTAACTCAGCACGTCGTGCCTGGGGATATTGTGTAACATTCTTATCATGATGGACTTGATGCTATATAGATACACCGGGGTGACTTCTTCTGTTGCCTTGGCTTCTCTTTCCGTGGCAATTCTCAATGCTTCTGCGCGGACCTTTGCAGCGGTGCGTTCCTTGAGAGAAACGTATTTCCAATTATCGTCGCCCGCTGCAAGTGCACGAAGAGCTTGTACGTCAACAAAAGTGGGCGTGTCGTTTTCCACTTGATCACTGCCGCGCAGATTATTGATAAACGCCGCCTCTTCTAGGAAAGCGATAGCCTTTCGTGCAGATAAGATTGCAGTGCGCTTGCGGCGCTTTGATCGCGCCAAATGGAGCTCGTGGCGCTCAGAAAAATAAAAAGCACCATCGCAGGCTGATGGGGCCTCGTCATCACCACTGGATGTGGCATCTTCGTCAGGCATAAAACTCTGCTTCTTTTGTGCCATCGATTGTCGCTCTGTGGTGACTTCAGGATGGCTTGCGTGCGCACCTTTACTATGAACAGGGTCTATTTGATCCGATGGTTGAGCAGAAATCATAGGCAAATCCGCTTCACTTGGCTTGACCCAGCTTAGCTCACCCGTTGAAATATTTTTCCATGACGTTTGCCCCCATTCATCGACAATCTCTTCCCAAGTGTTTAAAGGCATGCGAGGCGACCTACAGAATATACAGCGAGTTCGCATTTGGATTAGGGGGGGGCATAGCATGGGACGCTAGATGTAAAAATCATGACTGAGGCAGTAGCTCGGTGTCACCACTTGACGCAGCGGGAGCCATGTTGTCTGTGATTTTGGTAATGGGGGTCACGTTCACGGCAACTATATTACCAAGTTCATCACGCCCTGGTGGTGGCTCATACCTATAGAGTTTTTAAATATTAGATTGTCGAGCCTTAGTTGCATTGTTATCAGCACTGCACATGGCAGCATAGCAGGGGGCGCCTGCCATGATGCTTCTGCAGTGTCTGAGTGCACAAAGTATTTTCGTCCATAATCATCTGTTGCTTCAACCCATCTCGAAGCATCTGCAACACGTCTACGAATCTCACGCTTGATTTCAGCGTCCGCTGCAGCGGTACGAGCTGTGCCTAGCAGCTCGCTTCGTTCATCAACGCCCAGGTGAATGTGCCGGCGAAGCGACACCGGTGCAAGATATCCGCTTGGCCAGAGCGCTGCGAGCTGGCGTCGCTCCACCATACGCGCCAACCGCTCACGGGAGAGTGCATCCCGCGCCTTAGACATCTCTGTGCGCATTGGTTTAACCTCAGCTTCAACTGCACTTGTCAGAGAGCTGCGCAAGCTGGCGAGCTCCTGTTGTGTTTTACCCAGCAAAGCACCCAGCTTGACTATTTCGGCTTCCAAGTATTTCTTATTTGTCTCAGATACGGATAGAGCCTTTCGTACATTCCGAATGGATCTCGTTGCACTTTGCACTCTTAGCGTGCTCTGTTTAAGCGAGCCACTCTGCTTGAGAAGCTTTTGTCCATGTGACTGTAGGGAATCACAATGCGCGGTCAAGACAGCATCCTGGGTTGATATCGAGGATGCTATTAACTTTGCAGCGAGTGTCCAACTCCCTAAAAGTTCACGGTGGGAGCGCGCGTCTGCTCTTGCTTCATTAAGCTTAACATCGAGTTCACGCCGTCTTGTTTCAGCAGTTTGAGCACGCTTCTGCGCTACCTTCGCTGTTTCCTCCTGTGTACCAAGGTCATCCACCCGCCGGACCGCACGTGCGAAGGCCAGAGTTTCCGGTATCTCCCTAACCCCGTTTTCTCCAGTTTCTACATTAGAGAAAGTACCATCCTCACATTCTTTCCAGCCACACGAATCGCCACTTGCGGCTCGTCTTAATTGCTCCAACTCGATGCGGATTACTTCAACACGATGCTGTGCTTCCGCACGTGTCTGCGCGATTGTCGAATCAAATTTGTCTTCCATCTCGCCCAATTTGGCATCTGCGGCGCGTTGGATGCGCTGTTCGAGAGCATCGCGTTCATCTATCAGGCGTTCGTTTTCTAATGTCACTCGGTTGGTTTCGTCACGCGCCCGCTCTAACTCTTCACGCACTGCTGCGAGCTCGCCCATGGTATATCCTGATCAAGAGTAGCGCCCCAGTACAACTTACTACAAGTACACTACGGATAATCAGCGCCACATGTAATTTGGACCAGTTCGTAATTTGGACCACAAGTTTGCCCGTGCTCCTCCGGTCTTCGGCCTCCGGGAAGGTAAAGGTCAGTCTGCGCCGGCCGGCGGGGGCGCGGAGCCGGGGTTACGCGAAGGGTTCGGTGCAGGCCTTAGTAGAGTCGGCGTTGGCAGAAGCGCCACGTCCTCGGGAGTCCCGCCTCGCAGGCTTGTTCGAGGGGATAGGCTGGTTAGAGGAGAAAAGATGGGGTCGAGGGGGTCGGGCGCCGACGCGCGGGCGCGACGCGCGGGCCCGACCGCCGGCCGGCGCCGCGCGGGCGTCGCCACGGCGACGGCGCCGCTCGCCTTGCCGGGGGCGATCGGCGGCGACGCCGCGAACCGCCTCGCGCGCGTCCACGTCGCCGGCGAGGTGGGGGCTTCACGACGGTCCGTGCCTGTTGCCGGGG